ACACCACAGCAAAATACACATATAAATACTACCCTTTATAGCATTTCAGAGGAACAGCCGTGTTAGTCTGTATTCGCAAAAAGAAAAGGAGTACTTGTGGCACCTTAGAGACTAACCAATTTATTTGAGCATGAGCTTTCGTGAGCTACAGCTCACTTCATCAGATGCATACCGTGGAAACTGCAGCAGACTTTATATACACACAGAGAATATGTTTCATATATACACATATTCTCTGTGTGTATATAAAGTCTGCTGCAGTTTCCAAGGTATGCATCTGATGAAGTGAGCTGTAGCTCACGAAAGCTCATGCTCAAATAAATTGGTTAGTCTCTAAGGTGCCACAAGTACTCCTTTTCTTTTTATAGCATTTGTAATTCACTTGGCAATGTGCAGGGCAGTAGAGAATGAATCTCTCTCTCTTCTTATGTTTGTACAGCTCCTAGCACCCAAGATGTGCTACCACAATAGGAAGCAACTACACTGCAGTATATTAAGATTAAGGGGAAAGTAACCAATACACAGACCAGTTAGTTTTTTCAATCAATCAATCAAGGCCTTGAGGCCCAAGAGAGATCCTCCTAAGTGACAAAGAATTGTCAACAGGAATAGCCACACGAACAGCACTTTAATCTACTAGAACTCTTTAAACAGAAACAGAGCCTATTCAAAACCAGACCAACTGGTTGGAGGGGAGGGGGTGAAATGAAGAAAAAGAAATCTCCACAACCAACCTGTTAATGTATTCTAAAACGAAGGTTGCTAAATTAGCCTAAAGATAAAGAGTTATTATTGAACACAGATGCCGAGGGCCAATTTAAAAGCATTATGTAAAAAGGGAAGAAGTGAAGGGAGATGCCCGCTTTGAAATAGCTGCCCAAGCATGAAGCACAGTCTAACCAACTTTCAACACTGCACATTACTCCGCATCAGTCGGTTTGATGTCTGACTTCAGTAGCCAAACAAGAATGACAACAACCAGCAGCACATTCTCCTTCCTTGGAGCTGGAGGCAGGAGTGGAAGGGATATCTGAACTGTGGAAACAAACCCGGCAAGTGACTAGGGAAGGAAGGACACAGCAGGATTCCATCTCTGGGGCAGCGGGGGAAGAAAACCAAGTGCACTGTCCACAGAGAGAATGGACTGAATTAAAATAAAAAAAATACACCATTGGCTTGGGTAAGAGTTAAAGGCACTTAGCATCTTGCAGGATTGGATCCCAGTCCTCTCTCTTTCTGTCTCTCTGCCTCCCGGGTCAGGAAATAATATTGTGGTATTGGATTATGACAATTCCTAGCTCTTATATAGCTCTTGTTGTCAGTAGATCTCAAAAGTGCTTTACAAAGGAGATCAGCAACATTATCTCCACTTTACGGAAAGGAGTATCGAGGCACAGGGACAGGAAGTGACTTGCCCAAGGTCACCCAGCAAACCAGTGGCAGAGCCAAGAATTGAAACGCCGTCTCCTGAGTGACAGTGCAATGAACTACCCACTAAGCCACACTGCCTTCCATGATGCATCACATAATCCCACTCTCAGCCTCTAGATACCAGCAAATGTGATAGGAGACTAGGGAGTAGTTTTTCTTTTAAAGAGAAACACATTTTAAGTATGTTAGTATTATTGTTTTATGATGGTAAACCTTCAAAGTCCCAACAGAGATCAGAACCCCCCTGTGCTAAGTGTGATGTAGCTCTATAATTAGAGACACTCCCCTCCCCCAAGGAGTTCACAATCAAGACAGAGGAAGGGTTATTATCCCTAGGAGGTCCTATGCACAAGACTAAGCAACTTGCCCAGCATCACATAGGAAGTCAGTGGCACAGCACGAACTAAACCCAAATGTCTCGAGTCCTACCCACTACCTTCATCACTAAGCCATCCATCCCCTCTCCACTTAGAGGTGAAAAATTCCCCAACAACTCACGCCATCAACTGGGGTTTGTGGCAGTAATAAAACCCTTGACAGGAGCACTGTTTTATTACATAAGCAAGAGCCCTATATTCCTAATTATTGTGTATAAACAAACAGATCCCATGCTGAAGGGTGCAGTCTAATTAGACAGAACAGGACTACATGATGGAATATGTCATCCTTCAGCACAGTTTCTTAACTGAAGGTCCTTGACAGAAATGGAACACAATAAATTAAAAGAGTACAAGATTTTAAGCCCGAGCAATCTGTAAATCATGGTTTGGAAACACACACTTGGGAGCAGACAGCCATTCCACAGAAACAATCATTCTGCAAAGACACCTATCTCTTTTGGTTTGTGAATGGATTGTATTTTTAAAGTGCCCTGTCAGGACATCTTTTTACACAGCTACAAAATAAATGCCACAAGATGTAGTATGAGAACAATACAGGCATGGCACTGATAGCTGAACCTAATGTATTAACACAATGGGAAGGAATTGTCTTTTAAAAAGCCTCAAGCCTATAAAGATTAAAAGAATTCCAGCATAGTATTCACGTTGTAATCAGCTGCTGAGTGTAAATAAATAATCTAGGGCTCAGATTTTTCTTCTGATTGAAGAAAAAAAAAACAAAAAACAAACTTACTGGTAAAAATACCATCCTTCAGAATGAATGTTAAAGAAGGGCAGGGCAGAGCAGTGTAAGAAACTGCACATTAAATTTTAAAGATGCTGCATTACACAAATTCTGCAGCCAGAGGTGAAACCCAAATTATAGCGCTTTAAGATAGTAAGGCAAACTGACAATCAAAATTCACAAAATTTGCTGGGTCCAAGACACTTTTTCAAATCAAGGCTTCCCCTGAAGACATTTATCCCCTCCTTCCCTGCAATTTGAGACCTCACCAGGAGTCTTCGCATAAAACAAGACAATGACTCATGTCAAGTTAGGATTATCTCAGCACTTAGTACAGTCAAGGGTTTGGTTTTGGTTTTGGTTTTGGTTTTGGGGGGGTGGGGGGGGAAGAAAAGATAAGCAGAAAGATTAAACTGGACAACTCCAACCATTCACTTGTCATGCAGTTACACACAGCTTCTATGTTTAGGCCAGTGGCACTTAGCTCTTAGAGGGAAACTCACTTTGTGAGAACTGAGCTACTAAACACTTAAACATTTACAATACAATTACTAGTGCAAAAAGTTCATTGCCAACTCCTAATTAATTACAATCACCCTCCATTAGAGCAGCTAAAACAGAAGTTCTCATTTGCTTTACATGGCAACTGCCATAAATACAGAATTCTTCTGTCCAGTGAGGTATAACAGGCTGAGACATTAAGGGTTTGTTTACACAACAGTTTTCACAAAGCCTAATCTTGTTCCTTCATCTTCAGTGAAAAGTTTGTTTGGATGTGAAGTATTTCCATCACACACACCATAAGAGACTGGTGAGGGGCGCTCAGAAATAGCAGCATTGTTCTGAATGCATGGGAACCAGAGAGTGAAACTGAGTAATGAGTTTCAATGTTTGCTGGAGTTTCGATCAGCTTGGGGAGGGGAGAGGAGGGATGCAGCCTGAACACTAGCAAACTGCACGTGCAATTTTAAGGACCCTTTGGATTTTAATCATTTCAGGTATTGTCAGCGACACAGGGAAAGGATTCTTGTGCGTTCTTACTGTGTCCCTCTACAGAGGGAACGCAACAGTGTCCAGGTCAGCGTCACAAGAGATTATATTCAATTCAGCATGAGAAGATACACACAGGTCTACAAGTAGGGGGCCACAGACCATTTGCTCACCACCGCTTGGAGAACGGTACTACCCACAATTAAGTTGGGATTTAAACTCAGCTACTAGTAACTGGTTAGATTACATTTTTCTACTGGGCATGGGGCTATTTGTTTGCTTTAGGTCATGGTGATTTAATGCTGCTCATATCTTTCATCTTGACAAACCCGGAGTCCGAAGTCCCCGTTTAGCCACCGATCAGGGCCAAGCTGTGTGGAAGTAGCCGGGGCTTCAGCCAGAATCCCTGCCAACGGGCCTCACCAGCAGACAGACCCTCGTGCGGGCCCTCAAGTTCAGTCTCCATGTCTCATGCAGCCTCTCTGCTGAGGCTACTAACACAGCAGCCTGTTGTGGCCATCCAGGATGGCAACTTTGCTAAGTACCTGGCCGCTAGGAACTGGACGGAAAGCCCGTAACACAAGGGCCACTGAATGGCCATGGCTTCTAGTCACTTCCAGCCTGGGCTGGATTTGAGCAGGTGTCCTGGGGGTGAAGGGCTCCAGATACCTCCCACTCCCTCAAGCCAGTCAATTCCCCCCCCAATCTCCAGCTGCTGTCACAAGCCTTGTAACACATCTGTGGTGTTATACACACACTCTCCAGCGGGACTTTATCTGGGTGGGAAAACCTCAGTGGATGATGATGCTTCTCGGGGAATAATGAGGAGAAGCTGGGGCTTGGGAAGGGTGAAGCGGGTGTCTCTTCCTAGGGAGAGTAACTAGAACAGGGATACAACGAGAGGGAGCCCTATACGAGGAGGGAGGACACACCAGGGGAAGGGGGGGGTGTCTTATGGGGCAGGGGAAGGTGCGTGTGTTGGGGGAGGGAGGTAAGCACATGCACATCACGGAGAATTAGGGGTTTCCCACCAAAGGATGAAGGGCTGTTATAGGGGCACATGCTATAGGAGGGAGCTCCTAATAGGAGAAGTCGCTATAGAGGGAGTATGGGTCCCCAGGGGAAGAGTCCTTATACAGGCAGCCACCACAGAGGGAGCTCCCTATAGGGGCAGTCATTATGGGGGCGGGTGCTATATGGGGAGAGCAGGTCCCGAAGAGAAGAGAATCCCTGTACAGGGAAGCCCTGTGGGACGCGGGGTCACTATAGGGAACCAGCAGGTCCCCAGGAGGCAGGGAGGCCCCTTGGGCAGGCAAGCGCCTATAGGAGCAGCAGCTATAGGGGAAGGCAGCCCCCTCTAGGGGCAGGGCGGGTCCCAGGGGGCAGAGCCCCTATAGAAATCGTAGCTGCGGAGGAAGGCAACGCCCCACAGGGGCAGGGGGCCCCGCACTCACCGTGCCCAGGCCGCTCCCCGCCGCGAGCGCTCCTCACCTCCGCGCCCCACCGCAACCTGTTACCTTCGCCCAGGCCCCGCCCCCGGCCCCTGCCATTGGCCCGGGCTCCGGCCAGACCCGCCCCCCTCCCCTCCGCGGTGAGACAGCCACGCCCCTACTGCGCGCCACCCCGCCCCCGTTGGCCCGCGGCCAGCTCGGGGGGGCCCGGGGGGGCAGGAGAGGTCATGTGACTCCCCCAGGAGAGAGGGGGCGCGCCGCCATCTTGGCGAGGGTGAGGTTCGAAGGACGCGTTAGCAACAAGCCCCGCCCCGCGCAGCCCCCCCCACCTCACGAAGCTCCTCCCGAGCTAGCGCCCCTTTGGCTTGAGCAGCCTCCCCCCCGAGCTGGGTAGCCCCCCTCAGTGTCCCCCCAACCCTGATCAGCCTCCCCACCCACTGCACGTCCCCCAGTGCCCCCCTCAAGCCTGGGCAACCCCCCCCCCCCCCCTCAGTGTCCCCCCCACCCTGATCAGCCCCCCCAGGCCTGGGCAACCCCCTCCCCACTCCCTCAGTGTCGTCCCCCCAACCCTGATCAGCCTCCCCAGCCCCTGCACGTCCCCCACTGCCCCCCCAGGCCTGGGCAACCCACTCCCTCAGTGTCCCCCCACCCTGATCAGCCTCCCCACCATCTGCATGTCCCCCAGTGCCTCCCTCAGGCTTAAGCAGCTACCCCTACCCCCTGTGTTCCCCCCTGGCCTGGGTAGCTCCCCTGCCTCTACACTCCCCCCAATATCCCCTGGCCTGGGCAGTTCCCCTTACTCTGTTCTTCCCCCAGTGCCCCCCTCAGGCTAGTGCTCCCTTCAGTTTGGGTGGCTTTCCCATCCCCCCTCTTCTCCCTCCCCACTGCCCCCCGGTTTGGGCAGCCCCCTCTTATGCTCCTGTTCTTACCCAATGCCCCTCCTAGCCTGGACAGCTCCCCCACCCCTCTCTACTCCTGAATGCCCCCTCCCAGTTCTAGGACTGGATCCACCCCCTAGAGCCCTCTACCAGATAGGCCTAGGCAGAGCAGCTCCCCACGTCTTCCTCCACTTCAGATCTGTGCCTAGGCACTTCTCTGCACCCCTCTCTCTGATGTTCCCTGTAGAGGCTTGGGCAATTTCCCCCTGTATCTCTTCTATTCCTGGAGATGGGAAGGTTCCTCCAATCTCCCTGAACCACTCTCCCCAGTGTCCCCCAGACAGGCCTGGGGAAGAGCAGCTATCCTAATGCCCCCTCCTCAGTGTCCTTCCCACCAACTCCACCCCCAACATTCCTAACACAGGCCCTGGGCATCCCTGCATCTATTCCCATGACTCTGTCTCTTGCCTCCTCTCACTTTCCCTTTCTGTCTCTCTTCTGCTGCCCGTCTCCCTCCACAGTTCGATGGGAGCAATTTGTGGGCTTCTTCATCTCCAGGGTAGTGAAGTAATGGTCTCAAATTGCAGTGGGGGAGGTTTAGGTTGGATATTAGGAAAAACTTTTTTACTAGGAGGGTGGTGAAATACTGGAATGTGTTACCTAGGGAGGTGGTGGAATCTCCTTCCTTTGACAGGTTTCAGAACAACAGCCATGTTAGTCCGTATCCACAAAAAGAACAGGAGTGCGGGCACCGAAAGGTCAGGCTTGACAAAGCCCTGGCTGGGATAATTTAGTTGGGGATTGGTCCTGCTTTGAGCAGGAGGTTGGACTAGATGACCTCCTGAGGTCCCTTCCAACCCTGATATTCTAGGTTTCTAAGGTGCCCAAGGCACTGTTTAAAAAAAAGGCATACTAGTGGCACCTTAGAGACTAACCAATTTATTGGAGCATAAGCTTTCGTGAGCTACAGTTCACTTCAAGGCACTGTTGGTGCTGTGCAAAATATAATGCTCCTTTCTCACTGTGACATAAGGAAGCTGGACTAAGTCAATCTCTCTCCTCTGATTTCTTAGCTTGCTGTACTGCCTTTCAGCTCCATGAGCTTCATGACTTTATCTGCACAGTACCCCTGAAATGCAGATTCCCCCCATCCCAGGAAATGGGTACAGTGCTCCACATAACAATGAGGCAAGGGGAAGTTTTTATCGTGGGTCACTTCTGTACTCTTATAGCACTTCTTTCCTTCATTCCCTCCCCCTTGTTTCTCTTTTTTCTCTGCCAGGACTCATGGGGTATAAGTATGTCAGATATAAGTACTGAAGATCAGGGATAACTGGGTGAAATCTCCTGGCCCGTGTTATACAGGAGGTCAGATGAGATAGAATGGGCCTTTCTGGCCTTAGAATCTATTGGGGGGGGGTCTACGTTACAAATTTATATCAGTGCAACTGCAGCACAGCTGGTGAAAATGCTTTGAACCAGTGGTTCTTAACCTTTACTGCAGCCTGCACCGCTTTGGTTCTCAAAATATGTTCTTGCACCTCTTATCAAAAATCGTTGAAGTAGGTCAGTTCTTTAAACCTAGATATATTTGTTTATATATTAACGATTACTGTAATATACAATGTTAATAAATACTAAATATATAATGTTAAATAAATACTATTAATAAATATGTTAATAAATAGATTTGATGAAACAAAGTAGTTGTACTTACGTGCTGGGGCTTCATTTGTATTTTCGATGATTTACCTTCTAAAAAAAATCTGGCATGTCTCGCACCCCCAGAAAGGGCATCTCGCACCCCCAGTTAAGAACCACTGCTTTAAACCAACAGGAGAGAGCGCTCCCGTTGGCTTAATAACCCCACCTCCACGAGAGGCAGTTGCTAAGTTAGCGGCAGAAGCTGTCCCGCCAACATAGCGCTGTCTACACTGGGAGTTAAGGTCAGTATAACTACGTCGCTTAGGGGTGTGGGTTTTTTATACTCCTGCGCAACATAGTTATATGGAAGTATGTAGTATTGACCAAGCCTAACGAATCTAAGGCCACGCCTACGCTTACAACCTTACAGCGGCACAGACACACCTGTGCCGCTGTAAGATCACTCCTGTAGTCGCGTTACGTGGGTGGGAGAGAGCTCTCCCTTCGACATAGTTAAACCAGCTCGATGAGCTGTGCACACCAGCGCTTATGCTAGCAAAATTTATGTTGCTCAGGGGCGCGGGTTTTGTGCTAGTGTAGACATGGCCTAAGATAAATCCAACACCTTCTCACCACCACCGTGGTGACCCGAAGGGTTGCTTTTTTAGTTTGGGTTTGTACCTGCATGCAGTATTTTGAACTCTTGCGATTTTTATGACAAGTCGCACTGTATTTGGAGTGTTTCTTAAAGCCCCAGTTCCTGGCAACCTGCAATTAGGTGAGGCTCTCCACCCTTTTTTTTTTTTAATTAAACACACACATCAAAGGCTAATTTCTAACCCTCAAGATTACACGTAAAAGCTTGGAAACATGACCTGAGTGTGACTCTAAATGCTCCAAAAACAGAAGGCAACTTGTAAAAAAAAAAACTATTTTAAAAAAATCTCCTGATTTGTAAGCAAATGTTGTGATTTTTGTTTTGTTTTTATAGCCTGATTCATGATTTGTAAAATTCTCCCACCAAAGGGCTGAGGCTCCCACCCCGCCCTATTTAAGGTAAGAAATAATGCCGTTGATCTCAAGATCTCAAAGTGCTTTGCACACATTCATTTACAGTATTGCTAATTCAGTAATGATAATCCCTAGCTTTTATATAGCGCTTTTGGTCAGTAGATCTCAAAGCGTTTTAGTCAGCGCTTATACAAAAGGTGAGTCATTTACCCTCACACTAAGTTAGAAGAAGGAAACAGGTGCAGAGAGATAAAATGACTTGCTCTAGGTCTTGCTGTGAGTCCACGGATAGAATCCAGGTTTCCTGACTTCAATTTTTCTAATCTGACTTCTAAACCAAATACTTTGTAGACTGGTAAATAATGTGCCTTTGCCACTTAAAACACACAAACTCTTTGTAAGCTGTCAGTCAAAAAATTATGTCAAGCAATAGTGCATATCCCCTGTGGGATCTCTAAGTTTCCTAATTATGCAAAAGGTGTGTCTATCAAAAGAGGGTAAAGTCAAGTATCACGGAGACAGGGGTTAGTCATGTTGCTGGAGGTGCTACTACCATGATGTGCATGTTGTAAGAACAATATAGAATAGATCAGTTCCTGATATAAAGGATTAAGAGTAGCTCTGTAACGTTCATCAGGAGGAAAAATTACCCCCGACAAGTCACAGTGATTGAAAACTTCAGCCTAATGCAAACTGAAACAAACCCTGAGGGTAGGGCTAGGAGTGCCCCCAGTTCCCAGATAAGATGCGTGCTCAGCACCCTCACAGCATCGGGCCTAAGAGTACTTTGCCTATCTTGTGAATTCCTTCTAAGTGAGGTTTCTTGAGTATTACTGATGGGGGAGTGAGGCTCAGAGAAGTGAAGTGACTTGCTTAAGATCAATCAGACAGTTTGAGGCCCCCATCCTCTCTAACTACAAGACCAAACTCCTCCTCTGAGTTGGAGATAAAAGCAGGAGTCTTCTGCTTAACTTCTAGCCTGCATAATGGATGTGGCACAAAGTTTACAAATTATAGAACGAGACTGTTATATAATGGACTTCTTTTATCCTTCTCAGACTGTGGGCACTGAGTCCACTATTGCATCAGCAGATCCTGCTAGACAGTTTGATTTAAAACAAAAAAAATCTAAATTGTGTTTACTAAGGCCGGGTATGTCTACACTTAAAACACTAACGTGGCACAGCTGCAGCTGTGCTTGTGTACCGCTTCAGTGTAGACCCTCAATACAGGGATGGGAGGGGTTTCCCCAAGCCCTGTAGTTAATCCACCTCCCTGAGAGGCAGTAGCTAAATCGATGGAAGAATTCTTCTGTCGGCCTAGCGCTGTCTATACCAGGGGCTGTGTTCTACAAAAGCGTATAGCAATCAATTCACTCTCGGGAACAGGCTGCTAAAGCATTGTGTTGTACAATTTTGGGGCCCAAGATCCGAACATGGATGCAACAGGGAAGCAACTCCCAAGCAGACGTGTTACTGCCCCTCATTGTCAAAGTGGTTCCTCAAAGCCTCTCTGATGTTAATAGCAGCCCTC